CAATATCCAAGCCCAACAGGGCAACACCAACAGCATAACCCAATGTAGCTCTCTCTCTTGAATGGCGCCAGGCGCCCTACCTACTCTACAGCCTATCACTACAACTACAGTATGAAAGCAACCAGACAACTTGACGACCAGCGAGTGATGATGTCAACACCATTGCCGACCTCCCACCTCCACCAGATACGTCTCTCTCTTCACCCACACTCTCCCTTGTTATCCCACACAGCGCCTTCACCTCCAAAGAACCACCTTCGCCCTCACCTCCCTCTGCGCCCTCAGGCAGCCCGGCTATGGCCGCCAGCGCCCTGCGCCCAGGCAGCACACTATTGCTTAGCGCTAGCCTGCCTCACCTCAGCCTAGCACTGCTCAGAACCTCGCAAATGCGCAGCGTGCCGGCATTGGCCGCAATGGCGAAGATCCCTGCCCACTCGCCCTGCTTGCCCATATGCCAGTGTTGCGTGTGGGCGGCCTCCCTTGAGCCTGTGCCTCAATACCTGTACCCAGGCCCGATGCAGTTGGGGGCCCAGGAGATGCAGTTGCGCCTTTTTCATCAAGGCCTGTGGCCAGATTCAGATAGTGGACCGGTTTCCCATTGGCATTTTCGGCCTCTATATCCAGCATGCATTGTCGGCCTCACGTTTATGTGCCCAGGGCCTTACCAACTCGGGGCCCTGGGATTTCTGCATTTGCAGAGCTCCGACACTCGGTGCACACCAACCAACTGGCGTGCTGCAACTGTATGGACCCCACTTCCTGAATTATTTGCATAGAGGGCTCTTGTTGATTTGCTGGCCCGCCTTCACTTAGGGCGGGCACGAGGCTTGCTGGGGCCTTAGCCCAAAACGTGTACATCATGGCAAGGCCCCTTCTTGAGGGCTCAATCCTCACACGAAAATCATTTTAAAAAAAAATACAGCACAACTCAGGGACCACATCCCTGATGATAAAAAATGCCAAAAAAAATTCCTGCTTTTCTTTTTATTTTTTAAAATATTCTGTTTAAATCGAATTTCGTTTTTCATTTTTTTTAAATCTTAAAGCCAGATTCCGAAATAAAAAACATAGGATTGTAGGGTTTTCCAAGCCCTACACCCCTCTTTTTTTTGTTTATGTTTTACGTATTTTTATGGGGAAAAAAAAAACAAAAAAAAAACAGGCCGTGGACTTGGCCTCATCGGCCGCGGCCGTGGCCGAAAAAGTCGGCCGCAGCGACTGAAATGCCCACGGCCGCGGCCGCGGCTGTCACATAATGTACTACTATCTACTATGTAGTACTATGTGCTATGTACTATGTAGTACTATATACTTTGTAGCACTGTGTACTATGTACTATGTAGTACTACATGTCCTACTACATCCATGTATGTACCTTTTTTTTTTTTTTTTTAAATGAACAAGCTCCATCTATTGGTGGGGAGCAGCACCTGCTGGAAACCGGGTCCAGCATCCCATAGATACAACCATATCTTCACAAATTGGCACAAACTGGGAACTGGGCCCAGTGTCCCATAACAAGTACGTTCAGAAAACTCCATCAGAAAATTTCATGAAAATGAGACCAAGAACTACTAGAAAAATCTGATTGGCTAAGGATGGAAATTTAGAAATTGAGATACTGGGGCCATTACCCGGCTTCAGACATGTCTATAACAACTTCATGATTAATCAGAATTCAGAAACGACTCAGAATCCCCCATCAATCCACTTTACCCCCCTCCGGCAAGACTGATTGCAGCGGAGCCACCATCTCTGCTGCTGCTATGCCATACTCCCATCCTGCCAGCTAGCCCCCTCACAGGTAGGATGTGTGATAACCCACCATCTTCTCTCTCTTTATTTTTTTGCTAAGACGAATTGGATGTACTGAGAAAATCACTACAGAAGCCTCAAAATTAGGCAAAATTCGAAAAACAGCTCAGAGACAACTCAGAGACCCCCCCCCATCATATCCTCTTAACCTTACTCCGGCAAGACTTACTGCAGTGGAGCCACCATCTCCACTACTGTTGTGCCCTATTTCCATTCTACAAGCTAGCCCCCTCACTAGTAGGACGCTTGATAACCAACCACCTATTCATCTGTTGCATACCGTATAGGTGCAGACCAGAACAAGAACCGACCTTTCAATACAAGGTATAAGATAGCACAGCGGAAGGCTTAGATACCAGTGATCCGAACAATCAATGTTGTAATGCAGCCCTGAACATACATCATCATCATCGTTTCATAGTGTGAATGGGTCTGGCGCTTCACACAGGAAGACAGCGCCATCCCAGAACATGCACAGACGAGGAGGAAGGAGATAGACGAAGAGGAGGGTGAAGATGGGAATGTCGTCAACACCAAGTCTTCGGCACAAGCCCAAATAGTCCCTCGTCAAATTGTCTGAATCCCAAATGTCAAGTCTGGATCCAATGTCGTCAAGTCTCAAGTCACAACTCTGTCTCTCTCTGTCGTAGTCTGAGAAGTCAGGTGGCGAGAGGGTGAGAAGAGAAAGTGGACTTAGAAGAGGAAGAAGAAGAACTCTCTCTCTCTCTGTGTCCAGTACTAACCTGTGAACTTGGCGCCTTGATGCAGGTACCACGGAGATGGAGCTGGAACGATGGCGCCACAGGTAAGTAACACTGGCCTCCGCCAGTCTCTATCCACTCTACGATCTACTACCTACCAGCGCCCAGCGCTGAAGACTACAGCTACAGCTATGGCGCCCAGCGCCGAAGACTACCGCTAGCGCTACCACTACTGCCTAGCGCTGAAGACTACTGCAGCGCTCCTCCTGAGTGCTGCGGCCGAATCCTGAAGACTACCTCTCCTACTGACACTACCTACCCGTGAAGTGCATGGGATCC